AACTTGGCCCCGATGTGCCTTGCGCCTGGAATCCCAACCGCGCCGGGAATCACGAGGACAGCTGATCCGCAGGCCTGGCATGCACGCGCAGAGACTCAGCCTTCCAGAGCCACTCACGCGATCCATGAACTCCAGATCGCGACACTCCTTGACAATGAGCTCGCACCACTGGCCCGCATTCTCTGGCGCGATCAATATGAGGCCGCTGAAGTGATAGAACTCCTCCGGAATCCAGACGTAGAACGTCTCGAGCTGCTGCTTCTCCTTCTCGCCCACGCCCTGCGTGGGCGACTGTCGCGCGTATACTTGTGGTCCGGCACGCTCATCCGCGGGCCCCATAGGCTCTTGCTCGGTTGTCTCTGAAGCCGATTGACGCCCTTCACGTCTGTAGCGAACAGTGCCTTGGCAACCTCGGAAATCATGATGTTCTTAGTTCGTGGTATTGTGTGCTGACGACCCCGCAGACTGCGTCGGCGGTGCGTGCTCGAGTCTTACCTGTCCTTTCTCAGCCTGTTGGGATGCTTCAGCAGGTGGTGGACCGTGGGTGTCTGCGATCGTCCTGCTCTGGTCGGCCTTGGACGCCCACTCAATGTTCGCCTCGACGCTCGCTGGCACTTGCCGAGCCAATGCTTTCCAAGTTTTGTCTGTAGCACCGCTTGTTCCGAATCGATATCGTGGGCTGTCTGGTGAATCGTGGCGGTCGGTAAGAGATATAGAGGCCTCCTAATTTGGGTCGGAGTAGATGGGGTCGGAGGATCGCGCCGCTTCGCTGATACATCGACGATGCATGGGCGATGCATCGGCGACGCACCATCGATGCATCGTCGACGGCGGCGATACATCGGCGACGTTGACGCGTAGCAAATCGGGCTCCGTATCGAGCCGCATCGGCGATGCATCGGCGATGCGGCGCGATCCTCCGACCCCATCTACTCCGACCCTATCTGGGTATCTTAGAAGAGAATGGTTCGGGTCGGCGCGCACGCGCGGATAAAGGCCACTTGAAGTCGATCTCTCGGACGCACACCTGGGGCTGAGATGATCATGGCGCCGTCGCCGTTGCCGTTGACCTCGCGCGTCGCCGCTGCATTGCAAGTCAGCATGCCGGGCAACGGAGTCAGCCTTGGACATGAAGAGGCATCGTTGCGGACCAGGTCGGTCGAGAAGGTCGCTCCTGGTAGTCCTGGGATCCAGGTGGCATCGCGCAGACTCTTTGTGTCTTCTCAGGTCGACCGCCAACTCCGTCGAACGTCGCATTGGGAGGCCCGTAGGCCCCATCACTCACACTCCCACTAATTGCACGATTCGATCCAAGTGCATGCGCAACGGAATGGTACCCATCGGCGCTGAGGAAGCTACTGTATCCAGGGGCCCCAGCCTTTCTTCTCCGCATGGCCACGTGCATGGCGCCGGACTGATCGTCGCGCGCCGGGCAGTTCAGTGCGGCGTTGAGAGCAGCCAGTGGCATGGGGATGGACTTCTTGAGCCTTGGCCCGGCAAACGGCTTGCTTGATGATGCTGACCCTGGCGCGGGCTCGTCTGCAATGGGAATGTTGAACGCCGTTGCCTCCTCCATGGGAGCTACCGCTGCTGCACCGACGCTGGACATCGCACCCAGCTGGACACTGCGCTTGACAGGGGGCCTCGACGCGAGGCCCTGTTGCGATCGACTGCGCTGGAGGGCCCAGCGAGCATAGCTGTGGCTTCGGCGCCACTGCTTCTCCATCGCAATAATTCTCCGTGTCGAAATGAAGACTGTGAGGCCACGATTCTTCGCCGTCGTAGTCTCCCCAAGGACTTGCATCTGTTTTGTCGTAGTAGGTACTAATAGTGCCGTAATTCTTGCCCTTCGAGCTCTCCCATTGCTCGCCGAAGCCCTTGCCGCTCAAACTGCTATGTTTTGTTACCCTTGGGCTTGTTGCGATGATTGTCTTTGTTTCCCCGCTTGCTCTGGCCCGGGTTGCCGCCGTAATCCGATGGATTGCTTGATGGCGATGCTTGCGCTTTCTGAAGAAGGCAGTCCGAGCTCGCATGAAGTGGAGAGCCGCATGTCATGCACCCGTCACCTGCCTTCGTTGCACCTGACTTGCCGCTCTTGCCCTGGACATGCCACGCCCGCGTCCTTTGCCTCTGCCTTGGCCACCGTAGTAAATGTCCTCCTCATGTTCGCACCCTTCTTCGCGGCATGTGCCAATGCCTCTCTCGTCGTAGAAGCTGCCCCAGTCGGGCTCCTCGCCGCACCACGATGACACATCCTGCCAGTCGTCGCCACGGCCAACCCGTGACCAGCATCCGTCTGACCACCGCGACTCTGGGCTGCCACGTTGCCAGCATGCACCTTCGTCTGTCCAGCACTGAGAGACCATCGAGGGGATTGACGAGTTGGTGCCTTGAAAGTCGTGGTTGGCCATCCTCTGCATCAGGGCGACCAGCCTGGGGCATCTGTTGAAGCCACCTTGAACCTGCATTCTTAAGTATGTCCGCGTCCATTCTGAGAGTCCTGCAATGTGCAATAACAAGGAACTCTTGCCAACACGGTTGAGCTGGAGACCTCCCCGGTCTGACGCAGCTTCTGAACAAAATGTGAACAACGTGAAGGACATCATGGATGGGAAGATGGCCACGCTGCAAGGATAAAGGGCGACGATAACGCAACTACGCTCGTGTCCTGATCTTGGACTTCGAACTCCTGAACCAGCAAGACCATCTGCAGTGAAGTTCCTGCTAGCTCTGGTTCGTACAGGACTCCACGAGCGACCTGCCACTCAGGATGCGATAGCTGGGCTAGTAGCTCATGTCCTTCCATCCCACGGCAAACTCCAGCATTCAAATCAAAGTTTCTCTCTTCATATTCTTGCAAACGCCCTGCCATCACGCAAACCCGAGCAGTCAAATCCATGGCAAACTCCAGCATTCAAATCCAAGAGTTCTCTCTGGAATGCCGCGTCACGCAAACGCCCTGCCATCGCTGGTCCAGCTGCATGCTCGGGTAGCTCCGTTTGTCGCCACCACAACCGTAGCAACTGGATGTAGCGTCGGAGCGGGTACTTGTGGTTACCAGGCCGCCAGCCTCGAGAGAAATACCACCTGAGCCGGCGCGTTTTGTGATGTCTATGATGTAGGTCGGGGCCTCGGTGTTCGTAGTCTGGGTGATACTGCTCGTCCGCGGAATCACCTGCCAGGTGTAAGTGATAAGAATAGGGAGTGCAGCTGCCGCTACGCGTAAAGGAACCGAGTGTTCAAGTATGTTTGCTGCTGCTGAGAGTACATGTAATGTTTCTTGACGGATCTGCTTGAACCTATGGCGAAGCTGCGGGCAAGGAGACGGCGTGTCTACAGGGACCTGCCACCACATCAGCGCTGCCAAAGTGAGTTTCCCAGTGAAGCTGTCATAACGGATGGCTTGAGCCTTACAGATCATATGATCAACGCTTGATTCTGGAACTGGTCTGAAAGCTTCTGAAAGACAGGACACTCAACTGAGTCCCGGGGGGGTCCCAGGGGCGTCGCCACCCAGATAGGAGTCCCCCCGGGCAGGGGTCGCCACCAAAATGCGAGTCCCCCTTGGGCGGTTCGGGGGCCCAGACCGGATGTTCGAGGGCCCCGAAGTATCGGTCCAAGTCGCGAAAGTAGCCTCCAGACGGCTCAAAAGGTTTCCAAAACGCCCCAAGAGGCATCCAATAGGACTTACAAGAGGACCCCAAGGGGCAAAAATCATCGAGTTCCCCTAGGTTTTGAAAAGATTTCGGCATTCTCGCCTTGCCAGTTCCCCGACGCTCCAAGACAGGCCAAGAGGCCCCCAAGACCGCCCCAAGATGGCCCCAGAGGCCTCCAAGAGGCCTCCAAGACAGCCGAAGAGGCCCCAAGACGGCTCCAAGACGGAGCCCGGACGAGGGACCCGAAAGGTCATTTCGAGCCCTCGGCCTGAAAAGCTCCAAGGAGACCCCCAGAGGCCCCTAAGAAACCCCCCAAGAGGTCCCAAGAGGCCCCTAAGAGACCCCCAGCCAGAAAGCCCCAAGAGGCCACCACGAGGCTCCCAAGCGGCCCCCTAAGAGCCTCCCAAGAGGCCCCAAAACGACCCCCAAGAGGCACCCGAGAGCGCTCCTCGTCGTCGTCGTCGTCGTCGTCGTCGTCGTCGTCGTCGTTGTCGTCGCTATCGTCGTCGTCGTCGTCGTCGTCGTCGTCGTCGTCGTCGTTGTCGTCGCTATCGTCGTCGTCGTCGTCGTCGTCGCCGCCGCCGTCGTCGTCTTCGTCGTCGTCGTCGCCATTCAAGGTCGGCGGCACTGGCTGTAAGGCCTTCGCAATCATGGCCCGGGGCATTTGCAAGGGTGACCTTGGGCAAAAAATGACCTTCGGTGCGAGGCTTGCCATCTTCGCAGGCGGTGCGACTGGAGCGGCCCGAGTGCTCGAATTTGACGCCCCCTGCGAACCCCCGGAAAGCCGCGCACCAACCGTCGCTCTGGCGAGTGGTCATTCTTACGTGTAGCCGGGAAGATGGGCGGGTCGGTGCTGGGGCGAGCAGGGCAAAACCGACGGCGCACGCATCTGGAGCTGGTACCTGTGTCGCATCGGACGTGGGGCTCGGATCGCAAATCGTGAACGGAGGGGGGGCCAGGGGACGCATTGAATGAAGAGGAGAGGTCATGTCATCGGCGAGATATCATGGCCCCGGCCAGAATTTCCGCTCCCTAGCCTAGGAGGACGGTAACGCGCATAAACGTACACTGTGGGAGGTCGCGCGAATTCAGATCTGCGCTGGATCCGCCTCCCCGGCGCGCGGAACGCGACAGGGGCTGCGCCGAAGCGCTGCCAGGGGGGCCCTGGGCGCCCCACCTGGCGCGTTCCCGCGCGCCAGGGAGGGGGTCCAGCGCAGATCCAAGAGATCCGCGCGGAGCTCCGACAGTTTGCGTTTATGCTGTTTGTTCCTTGCTTGAATCTAGGCCATGGCCAAGATGCCCCCCCTCCATAGCCATCCCCCACCTCTTGGCCGACCCTGATTCCTGTCCAGCGGGTGGTGCACCGGGTAGGGGTAGAGGGCGGGCAGGTCGGCCGCGTCGAAGAGCAGCATGCGCTTGGAGCCACGAATCTGGGTCGAAGAAGAAAGAACGGCGTCAGCAGAAAACTTTCGAAGCTCCGTGCAGGTTTCTTGGATCGGCACTCGGCCCCCGTCCCTGGCGCGCTGAGCGCGCCAGGCGAGGAGCCGCCAAAAGGTCCCAACGTCGATCCGAGAAGTCCGCGCAGAATTCCAAAATTGCATTCTGTATGCCGTGTTCTCTCCTCCCGCTGGAGGAAGAGGTTGTGCTGCTGGTCGTAGTGGACCGCGGTCAGGTAGTCCGAGAAACTCACGAAGAGCTGGTTGCGGGAGATGGGCCCGAAGCTGCCAAGGTCCTGGAGTTTCTTCACCATGCCATTGTCAATGCTCCGCAGATCAGCCTCCATGTCCTCGTCAAACCTTGCGCACGTGATCACACCATCCTTGTCGTCGTCGTACCTCAGCAATGCTGTCTGCAAGTAATACGTGTTTCCGTCCTTCTGTGTCCGCTGCCCCTCGACAAACTCCGCGAAAGTCATTTTGCAGGCCTTGGCAATCGAGGCCGGCTCGTACCCGCCCTCGTTCCTCTCGTCGAAGGAGTACGCGAAGCGCCGGTCCTGGGCGCCGGAGGCGAAGACGTGGTAGAGCTGGCTGCCCATGTGACGCGCGAGGTACGCGCAGTCCCACCTTGAAGGGGCCCTGGGACACAAAAATAAGTACAAATAAAAGGAGTCCCCATATTTTATCATATTTTTTGGGTTTTCGTCGTCCCCCCAACTTCCCATATTTTCTAATATTTTCCTGGGGATCGACGATTCATTGTGTCTGTGTGTTTTTTCCCCTCCTGACACCTCTCAACAGCGCGCTGGAACAGCGGCAGATTCCTGGAAGAACAAAGAGCTGCACAAACAGACACTCTTGGAGATTCTCGCGGATTTCTTGGATCGGCGCTGGCCCCTCCTCCCTGGCGCGCGGAGCGCGCCAAGGGCTGCGCCAGAGTCGCCGCCAAGGGTTCCCGGAGCCGATCCAAGAAGTCCGCGCGGAGCTCCGAAAATTGATGTTCATGCAATTGGTTCTTCTACTTACGAACTCCGGATGATGCACGGCATGGGCGCGCGCACGTCGAAGAACCGCGACAGCTCCCCCATCGTTGCCGGAGACAGGGCGCCTCCAGCGTCCACTACGGGGCAGCGCCACCTTCTGTGGCAACCCATGGGAGCCTCCCATACCATCTTGTTGGCTCGTGCGAAATGACGCTAATCGATGCTAGCCGACTTCAATCGATGCTAAATCGGCGCTCTCTCATGGACTGGCAGACGCTGATCGACGCTAATGCACTCCCGAGGCAGACTTGTGAGGAGACATGAGGCCCCCATGGATTGCTGCCGAACGCCACCCTGCGAGCGCGGCCACATGCCGCCTGCCCACGTCTGTCGGGGGCAACGATGGGGGCGAATAGCCCAGGGGAGCGCTATCAACGTATCCAGAAGCGCCGGCTGCCCATGCCTTCGGCGAGGCTCCTGGGCGAATCCATGCAATGCCCGCCCCTGGGCTACTCGCCCCTGTCGTCGCCTGCCCACGTCTGCGGAGCGGCCGCCGCTGCCCGCCTCGTCCTGCTCGGCGGAAAACGGGATCATCCGGGCGGGCGCCGGGGCCTGGGCCTCCGTGGAGCCCCGCGGGGGAGCTGCGTGCAGCAGGCTGTACTTGTGCCTCTCCGGAGGGATCGGCTCGAAGCCCTGCCGTTCCCAGAGCATCTCGGCCAGCTGGCGCACGCGCGGCGTGTCCGTGGCATCGTCGCCCACCTGATCACTGTCACTACATACATAGTCACATCAAGCAATTAAGAACCCCCCCTCTCTGGCGAAAGTATAACGCACCCAGCACCCCAGAAGCGTTACCCTGGCACCTCGCACCTTTATGTGAACGCAGACGAGTTCGCTCACCGAAACAAGCAAACCGCCTGAGACGTTCTCGCAATCTGATCTCCTCGTGGTTATGCAACAAGCGCCTCGCCTGAGACATCCTCAGAAACTGCTCTGGACGCAGACGAGTCTGCGTCAGGTGGTCGGCCTGGGCGAGAACTGGAGAGGCCGCGCGTCTCCCCAGCGCTCGGCCTTCCGAGCAGGGGGCCTCTTCCTCTTCCTCTTCGTCCTTCTCAGGGGTCCTCCTCCTCCTCCTTCTCCGATTCCTCCTCATCAGAAATCCTCCTCCTCTTCCTCCTCCCCCTCCCCCCCGTAGCCATTTTGGCCCTTACTCGCAATTGCGGGTCAAGCCGAGGGCCAAGGCCTCAGTCAAGAGCCCTTGGCACAGCTAAACAAAACATCCTCCTCCTGCTCCTCCTCCTCCTCCTCCTCCTCCTCCTCCTCCTCAAGACTCCCTTACGGCATGGCACCAACACGAACAACGACAATAATACAAGCAATAATAGTTATATATAGAACAACAAGGCCAAGAACAGCAACACCAACGATAACAACATCAAAATCACATATACATATATATATATACATATATATATATTTTAAAAAAAAAAAAAAAAAAAAAAAAAAAAAAAAAAACGACAACCCCAACAATAACAACATTCCATCCCACGCAAGGGAGTGCCCAACTTCGAAATGGAAGCGTCCGTGCCTACGATGGGGGGGGCGAATAAGTTTGGCGGTGCGGGTGCTAAGATAACGCGCCGTGCGTGGCGGGGGCGATATCCTCGGATGGACACCACCCCACACGACGGCCAGGGAAAAAACAATGTTTCAAGAGGGGTGGTAATAATAATCGTATAGGACAAGGGTAATGAAGAAAATGAAGAGGAGCAAAATAAAGAGGAAGGGTGAGGCAGGGGAACGCGTCTACTTTCATACTCGTACTCGTAAATGCTTCCTTTCTCTTATTCGTAATAGGTTTTTTAATCATGTTCTTACTCGTAGTATTATTTGTACTGTTATTCTTAGCATTGGCCATGATGTACTTCTTGTCTTGTTGGACAAGCTGTCATAATTATGCTGTGCGGGTGTGGTGCTAAGATAACACGACGTGCGCGGCGGGGGCGATACCACGGATGGACTACCCCACGCGACGGCCGGGAAACAACAATTGTTCAACACGGGTGGCAATACAAATCGCATAAGACAAATTTGATGAATATACTGATAAACGGATGCCTCGTATTGACATTCTTATGTATACGAACCGTAGATTGTTATTCTCTGACTGAATGATTTTGGACAAACACGGCTTCGGACAACGTACATGCCTCGAACCTGTTTATCAACTTTGCACTGCTACACTCCTCCTCGGCTAGGCGATTCATTGAACTAGCACGCCCGCTAGCTAGCTTCATTGAACTGGATGGCCGAGCTCCTCAGCTCAAGCCGTGCTCACACCGCTTCCCGCAGGGACAGCTCACTTCGCCCTTCCAATATCACGAACCCGCACCGATCCATGAAGAAGTCGTGCATGTCACCGCTCAGGTGCTTAGTCATCATGTCCGCTGTGTGGAGTTCGCCTGGCACCTTGTTCAGCCAGGCGAGCTTCTGATGGTAGATAGCCTGCATCCACGCGAGCTGCGCATGTAGGTGCCTGACCTTCCCTGCTCCCAGCCTGAGCGCCATGCCGCACCTGGCGGTGGCGTCTGTCTCGACAATCAGCTCCTTCTTGAGGCCGAAACCCTTGCACATGCCCTGGGCTCCGAGCCCAGCGCTCGCCACTCTCGCGATTGCGTAGAACTCGGACTCGCCGCTCGACATTGCTATTACTGGCTGGGTGCTCGCACTCGCCCTCAGCAGATGCGCGCCATGGCGCAGGGCGGTGCCCGCAGTACTCTTCCTCGTCAACACACAACCTGCATGGCCCGAGTCGCACGCCACAGTCGGGCGGTCTGGCTCGATCTGCTGCACGAGCTGCTGCGCCAGCCTGGGTCGTCGCATCAGGTAGCGCCCGATCCTCTTCACCATCTCCATGGCGATCTGAATTGGCTTGCCCATCCATCGCGCCGCCTCTTTCGCCGCAAAAGAGGCGGCCGATCCCATGCACCGCCAGGTTGTTGATCCTCACGCACACTCCGCGGAATAGCGCCGAATCGGTAGTACCGAGTGCCAGTGGCTCCAACAGCTCCTCGGCCGTCCTCTTGGCGCCCAGCGATGTTACTGCTTTGCTGCCCTTGTCTACTCCGAGCTTCAGCTGCGATAAGACGATCTCGACATGGCGGGCGTCAGCCTCCAACTGCAAACACGGAACCCCAGCCTCGGTCTCGGTGAGCTCGGCGATACTGTTGAACAACGTGACCCCCCGCAAGTATCCGTCGCCCCAGCCAAGTGCTCCACGCGCCTTCCCCAGCATCTTCTTGGACAGCCCCGTTTTGAACCACTCCTGGGCGCTGTCGTCGCCCTCGCTCACGAAATCGTCTCCGCGGTAAAACAGCAGGATGTCCTTCTCGTCATGCCGGCACAAGCACGGACGGAAGAAACCAATCTTTAAACCCATCTCACGCAGCACCTCCATCACCATGTCTGCAAAGATCGCCGCTGCGTCTCTCGCGCCGCACATGCTCTTGAGCAGTAGCGCGCAATAGCCTTCCTGGCGTCGCTCGGTCGGAAGTTGAACGAATACACGCCTGCGCGCAGGACTGTGGAAGTGTGCCCGAGTTATATCGGTGAACGTCATCTTGCGTCGCCTACAATCCCCGCGCTTCCTGCTCATCATCTTGCTGGATGCCATCTTAACGCCTCCTGCGGCGGGGTAGCTGAGAAGGCATCGCCCCTGAACATCCCAGTCTTGGTCTGCGCGCTCTTCAGCTCCTTCGCGACCAACCTGCACCTTATCTCTGGGCGAGCGTCGTCGCCCTTGTTCACGTCCACCCACTTGACCGGGATGGGCCTCGCCTTGGTCTCCTCCCAGCAGAGAGACTCCGGTGCGACCTCGGACACCTTCGCGTCGCCCATGCACTGAAGCCCCCCCCACCCCTGCCGGCCCGCGCCAGCTTCGCGCCCAGCAGCTGGCCCGAGATGTTGTCGCGAAGCTCCTCGTACTCCTCCATGCCCCAGGTCGCGGCGCCCCCCTCGCAAGTGACGCCCGCCCACGGTGAACGCGCTCAGGTCGCCGTTAACCTTCAGCTGCGCCTTCAATCCCCTCAGGATCGCCGCCGCCAGCGCGGGCGGGTAGCTCTGCGCTGGTCTCGTCTTCGAACTCCCGACAAGATGTACGCGAGTGTGCCACCTGTCCCGAGGTAGGCCCTCGTTCTCGCACCGGCGGGATACCTCCGCCAGGATGCACTCTGAGTTGCTCATCCAACCCGTAGGCTTGAGGACCGAGCCCATCTCGCCATCGAGGTCCACCGTCTGTTGGCCAAAGCAACACTGGTGCCCCGTGACGCGAGAGACACCCTCCATCCTCAACAGATCCTGCACGAAGTCCAGCTTCCAGCTCCATGCTCGATCCGGGCGCCCTGCCTCCACCTGCTTGACGTACTGCTTTACGCAGAACCTGAGGTGCCTGACGCCCTCTGTCACCTTCTGCTCGCACGCCTCGGGGTCGCGATCCTTGTTCAGACTCATGTGAACGCCCGGCACATCGGCGACCCGCTGAGCAGGCACGGCTTCTCCTCATCGGTGACCGCCTCGCATGCCGTCTGGCGCTCTGGGTCTGACAGGCCCCGCGGAACCCCGTCCTCATCTCTCAGTCGCAGATCGAAAGCGCGCCCTGGATTAAGGCCAAACGACTCTGCCCTGCTCGGAAACTTGCCTGGCCAAAACAGATCAGACACGCGAGCGCCGAAAAAGCCCAGGTCCTCGACGATGCCTGTGACCCTCCAGCGCGTCCGCCTCCATGGCACCCCCGGTTCCAGGTGCGCCTTCAGCATGCCTCTTCGCCCCCGAGCCCGCGCCCGTGCCCATCGGGCCCGTGCCCTTCGCCTCAGGCGGCGCTGCGCTCGACAATGCCGCTGCGCCCGCTGCTGCTGCGCCCGACGGCGCCGCCGCGCACGATGATGCCGCTGCCGCGCTCGATGGTGCCGCTCCACTCGCCGACGCCGCGGGTTACCCTTGATCACCCTCGGCGCCCCGGGCTCGACCGACTGGCGCTCGGCCAGCCTCTTCCTTCGAAGCCGCGCCTCGGCTACCGTCACTCGCTTGTTCATCCCGAAGTCATCCTCCATGAGCTTCGTGATCCTTGCCCTGCAGGTCTCGATGTGACTGCGAGCTGGCCGTCCAGCCGCGTAGTTGTCGCATCCGGGGCAGCTCTCGGCGCGACCGAACTTCTCGATCTCCACCTCGTTGCGGACGTAGACTCGCCAAGGTCCAGGTGCTCCACCTGCCCCGGTGCCTGGCCGCAGAACCGGCGGCTCCACTGGCAGAGGCGCCTCGTCGGACGCTGTCACGGTCGGGAAGCGGGCCGCTGGCGCCACCTCCCCGTCTCGGACCACCCCTGGCACTGGCCGCCAAGGTGATCCCTGCAGCTTCCTCATCAGCTCGCCGTCGTACCGGGCGTCGCCGGCCTTCCGCCTGACAGCCCTGGCCCGCGCCGCGCCCAGCTCCACGCCGATGTACAGCTCCTGGCTCGTGAGCTTCACGCCCAGGTGGATGCCGGCCACCCACTTGGCGTCCAGCTTGTTATTGTGCCCCCTGTTCCTGTCCGCTGGGAGGTAGAACACCGTCTCGCCGAACGGTGGGAGCTCCTTGCGATATCTCCTGCCTCGAATACTCTCGTACGCTGTGCGTCCACCCGCTCCCACCTCAAACAGGCTGAGCACTGCTCCAGCGTAGTTGATGAGCCACGGTGCGATCATGTGATCGCGGCTGACCAGCATCCCATACTGGCGCTCCACCACCAGCTTCAGCGTCCGCACGACGCCGCCCGCGGACTGCACCGCCCGCTCGATCGCGCCGTGGGCCTGGTGCTCGTCCACCGAGCTCACCTCCTTCACGATGTTGTAGGTCTCGCCCAAACTCTAGATGACCTTGTTCTTCAGATCCAGGATCGCAGGCCCCTGGTCACTCTTGAAGACGAACTGCTTCACCCCCGTGTACTTGATGGCCTCCGCCACCCGCTCGATGATCCAGGCCCACGGGCCCCCTCACTCGACGCTGCGATCGACGCCGCCCATCGCCCCGCGTGCTCACGCAGCACCACCGTCGGCGCCGCGCGAGCATCGCCCCCTCCAAAGAACGCGTAGTCCATGGAGATCACGTTTACCAGGTGCGCTCTCTCAGCGCCCAACCTCCGATGACCAGCATTGCGGCCGCGCCCACAGACGCAGTCTCCGCGCCATCGCTCAGCCGTCGTCGGCTCGAACGATCTCGGGGCCAAAATGACCGGCGGGCCCCCGATGTCCTCGCCCACCTCCTCCTCGACCTCCTGCCGGGGCTCGGCGGGCACCGCCACTGCCGGCGCTTCCGCTGGCACCTCGCCCTCTGGGAGAGGAGAGATCTCGCTGCGCACGCCGCCTGTTCCCCGACATTGCGCCGAGGGCCAGAGCCGACCGCTACCGACCGTTCACCTTCTTGAGCTTGATACAGTAGACTCCGCGCCGTAGATGAACAGGTAGAACCGCGCCACTCGCGATGCGTCTCAGGCAGCAACCCGTCGGCCCGACATAAACCTCGCGGCCCTCCCCCGCCAACCTCGACGCAGCAAGCGGCATCCGGTGCACAGCCGTCGAGGTACATCGGAGGCGCCTCACGTAGCCGTCCTCCGCCAAGACCTCGATGATCTTCTCGCCCTCGTCGCGCGCCAGCTCGCCGTTGGCCGCCCGGCAGCTCGTGCCCGACTCGCTGGACATCGTCGGCCGCGCCGCCACATCCGTGAACCACTTGCACGGGGCAACGCTCTCCGCCGCCCCAGAATCCACCGCTGCACAGAAGAACTCGTCGTCCTCGTCCATCACGTTCAGTTCCAGAGAGCGCGGGCCCAGCCCGCCGATGCCCCCAGGCTGCTCGGTCTCTGGCTCCTGCTCGTACCCAGCCTCCAGGCTGTTGGGCCCGCGCTTCGGCGGTTGCCCACGCGACGAAGGGCAATCCTGCCTCTCGTGTCCCCAGCCCCAGCACTGCGAGCAACGCCCTTGGAAACCTGTCTGCTGCTGCTGCTGGTTGCTGCCGGACTTCGCCCAGGGCTGGATGCGCGATCTGGTCGGCATCTCCTTGCTCTTGGTATTTGTCTTCTCCCTTGGCCTAGCCGTTGCCGGCTTTGCCGCCCTTGCCCTTGCCTCTCGAGCCTTGATTCCCTCAGTGGGCTCCACCGCAAGGGCTCCAGCAGTCTTGCCTCTTGTAGCCCTTCGCGCCGCAGCTGTTGCACGTGATGTCCGAGTCTCCCTTCTTGCCTCCGTCGCCGCCAATTCCGCTGAGATCCATCGGCGCCGGTCCGTCGTTGAACGTCGACTCCAGGTAACTCTAGATCTCCTCTCGGATGCTGACGCACGTCTTCAGCTTGTTCGCGTTCAGCACCAGGTGACCCTTCAGCACACCATTGGCCATGCTGATCAGCACCTCGGTCTTGATATCCCCCTGCATCGCTGCGCCCGCTCGCCTCTCGTAAACTCGCAAGCGATCCTCCCATCTGGCGATGCGGCTGTTCATCTCTGTCACTTCGACTGCCCCTGGCTGCATCGGCGCCCCCAGGGTGTTCCTTCTGCGCCCAGCACCCTGCGGGTCGAGGCGGCCCGACACTACGCGCCATGCCTCGAACCCGTCATTGTCCATCGTCGACAGCACTAGGTCCAGTGCCTCCCCATCGCAGAGCTGCGCCAACACCGCGCGCAGCTGCCTCGCTACACTCTGCACGTCCACTCCGTCGTCCAAGAAACTCGCGATCCCCTCGCGATCTGCATCCTGCATGGGCTCCTCCTGGTCCTGGCAGTACTCCATGGCATCCTTGATCCCCGTGGCCACGCCCTCGAGGAAGTTCCCCAGCTTGAAACTCCATCCACTCCATACCGTCATGTCTGAGTTGAAGGTCGATGTCTTACCGATGCCTTTGATGTCCACGAACTGTACCTTCTCTCTCTTGGCCTCGCGATCCGCGATCGCCGATGCGCGCAGCTTTGTCATGGCCTCGAACTCCAGAACCCTCTGCTGCTGTAGTGTCGCAACCACATCTCTCTGGCGCGTGAACTCCGTCGTCAGACCGTGTATATGCTCCGACCGTCTCCTCAATTGCTCCTCCGCCATCGTCACGCCTACAGCACGGTTCGGATCCTCTCTCGAAGGCCCTTCTCACACGCGATTAGCAGGAACTGTCCCAGATGACCCCAGATTCGCTGCAGTCTCCGTATCCTCTGCACACGGCGCACCAACTCGCGCCAACAAACCAACTTCGTCGTCCGTATTGCTGCGCGCCGCGCGCACTCCGCTTGTGAGCGGTCTAATATGGACCGGCAGCGGTCTGATCGGAGCCAGGTTCCGTTACCATGACTGAATGATTTGGGACCAGCACGGATTGTGGCAACTTGCATGCCTCGAACCTGTTTATCAAATTTGCACGTCTATATTTTCTATTTCCGGATATGATCATTATTGTTATTCTTATGATCATCATGATTCGTTTTCCGAATATGAGTATGAGCCGTATTCGTATTATCCTGCTTATTCGTATTATAATATTATCATTAGCGTTATTACTCTTACTCGCCTCCTTAGTATCGTTAGTATTCGTATTATGATTCGTTAAACGTTTATTGTTATGAGGCTTGTCAGTATTATCAGTGATCGTTTTCTTATGTGGACTTATATTATTATTCCTACTACTAGTTTAAAGTATACTACTCTTAATATGCTTATTATTATTATTCGTACTATCCGTAATACGCTTACTATTATCCTTAGTAGTTGTATTGTTCTCAGTATCGCTACTCGTATGTTGTTTCTATTCGTATTCCAATTAAAAATGTGATACCACCCGAGCTGGAGCGCAAGAAATTCTCCTTTTCGTTAATACTGCGCGGTGCTAATCATATCGTTCGGCGGAAACCGCCCCCCAGAATTATTTAACTATGGTGCTCCGCTAATAATAACTCTGGGGATGGGGTCCTTAATGGCTTGATGGGACTACACACAAACATAGAGAAATACTTGCAGCAAAGTACGCATGTGTTGCATACATATGAATAACACTTGTATGTGTGAGGGCTTCGCCCCTTGCCGCTGGTTCCCACTCCTGGAGAATGGGGCATGCTAGAGCTATGTTGTGAAGCCTGAGCGAAGTCGTGAAGCAGCGTCGGGACTCCGAACGGGGGCAACTGGAGGAATGAGCGTGCCAACATCCATCAACAACCTAAGACAACTCGCGGATGTTGGCGTCGTGGGCCCCTCTTGGGGTGCTCTTTGAACGCTTTGTGGGGCCTCTTGGGAGCCTCTTGGGCTGTCTTGGGACCATCTTGGTTAAAAGTCGCCCGAAGGCGCTCCGAAGACACCCCAAGAGGCAACCCTGATAACTCTGACCCGCAACCCAGGCACGGTGCAGGATGGGCCGGAGGCCGTGAAAATACAGATCCACATCCAACCGCGTTGGGATCGTGGCTGGAAGCCTCGGGGGGTGGTGGATAACCATGCATGTCTGCGGGCCCTAGCAGGCGCACACCACTCCTCGGGATCCTGGGGCCCGACATCTGGCTTCTCGAACTTTTCGAGACACGGGCCCTGGGACTCTCGACCACTTCCCCGGGACCGGTTTTGACCTCAGACAGAAACATACATATATATATATATACATACACACATACATACATACATACATACATACATACATACATACATACATACACACATACATACACACGTACATACACCAAAAACAAGAGACGCTCCGCCGGCCAGCACGCACAGGGCATCCAAGGGCGGCCTCCCCAGGATGCACGAGAGCATCCAACAGACACGACGAACACCAGCGCACCCTCCCCGAGCCGACCTCAGTCTCACACCTCGGTCCGACCGTACAGGTGCGCTTCCTGCTCCCAACTCTGGGATTAGGTCGGGCCTGATCCCCTACAGGGGAATTCTGGGCGAAAGAATTAAAAATACTAAAGACATACTCCCAAAATGACAACAACAAAAAATCAAAACATCGTCCCCAGACTATTTTTGAATATCCCTCCTGTAGACGGACAGGCCCGACTTAACTCTGGGACGTGCTCTGCTGGCGGGGCCTGGCAGAGCAGCGCCTCGCCCAGGGCGTCGAGGTAGCGCCCGGCCTGGCAGAGCTCCATGGCGCGGGCCTCGGGCGTAGCGCCGCCCGGGGCGCGGGCTGGCCCCTCCTGCTTGGGGGGGGGCAGGAGAAGGAGGGTCCGCGTACAGTCGGACTTGATTGGGGAGGACACGCGAGAGGACACAAGACCCCTCCGAAGGCCACATCGCCATAGGAGTGTAAAGGGGGCACGTGTCGCGAGGCACAGGACACAAGGGTACCCTTAAGCTGGCAGGGTCGACCTACTAATCAGGGCCGACTGTAAGCGTGGATAGGGGTGGGGGGCACGGGTGGCAGGGGTGGACATATCGCCGTTCATGGGGCGCACAAAAACATGATAATACTGTGTCCCCCTCGGAGGCGTGCGTCCGGCCCGAACGTCTAGGACAGCAATATTTCCCTATCTAGGCTCAGCCTAGAAGGGTTCTTACTCTCTGGGTTGAAAGGGGCGGGGCAATGGAAAGCGCCCCGGGCGGTTCCCCCAGTATCCGCCCTGTGATTCCCCCAGTTACGTCCCCTTAGTGTTGGTGATGATTCCCTACCTAGGCTCTGCCTAGAAGGGTTCTTACTCGCTTTGCTTAAAGGGGCCGGGCAGTGGAAAGCGCCCCGGGCGGTTCCCCCAGTCCCCTGGGAGCCAAGCAAAAGCAACAGCAAAGGTAAAAGCAAACGCGCGGTTCCCCCAGTTGCGCTCCCTGGGTGCCAAGCAAAAGCAAAAGCAAAGGCAAAAGTGAAGGCAAAAGCGAAGGCAAAGCAACAGCATAGCATAGCATAGCATAGCATAGCATAGCCCAGCATAGAATTGCGCAGCATAGCATAGCATAGCAGAGCAGAGCATAGCAGAGCATAACATAGCGCAGCACAGCATCCACCATTGCTGCTGCTATATATATATACACCTATATATATATGTATATACACATGAACTTATATGTGTGTGTGCGCACGTATGTTCCATGCATGTTGTCCGTCTGTGGGCCATCTTGAGCCCTTAGTGGGTTAGCTTGAGCCCTTAGGATTCACGAAGGTTTCGCACATAGTACCGGCCGGGAGACATGTTGCTTTCCTAGAGGCTCCAACTCCTAGGTAGAGTCGCAGTGGGGTAATGTACTAGATCTTGTCCACTAAGCATATCTATATTTATATGTATGAATATATGTGGGAAAGAGATTTCTCGACACGCGCGTCGCCTCTTTGGGGGTTACGCACACACAACGTTCGGATGTTTGGGTGGCACCGGGCTTATCTCCTTCTCCTTCAGGGGGGGATGAGAGGGAGGACGGCCCGCTACCTCGTGGCCTCCCTGGAGGGCGGGGACGTGGCAAGGATCTGGGCTCTGGGACCGATACCACGTGCCCACAAACTAGAGGCTTCCAGAGCGGGGTCCGAGTAGATGGGGCCGGCGGATCGCTCCGCATCGCCGATGCGTCGCCGACAATGGCGCCCCATCCACATCGAGCCACATCGACGATGCATCGTCGATGCGGCGCGACCCTCCGATCCCACGAACTTCGACTCCACTTTGATGGACTCAACGGGAAAGATGGGATTGGTTTTTCATCAAACCCATTTTAGAATGGGGACGTGTTGTTGCGCGGGCTGGTTGACGGTTTGGAAACGAAAACATGTTTGGGGAAATCATGTTCCCCCGCGGCGGCAACTGCAGTCGTCATCATCGTACTCGCACGATTACTCATTTTAACCCCTCCTCCTCCGCCGCCTCCTCCTCTTCCTCCTCTTCCTCCTCCCACTGCTACTACGACTATTACTAGTAACTACTACTACTACTACTACTGCTACTACTACTACTACTACTACTACTACTACGGCGACGACTACTACTACTACTACTACTACTACGACGACTACTACTACTACTACTACTTCTACGCCTACCACTACTACTACTACTACTACTACTACTACTACTGCTACTACTACTACTACTACTACTACTACTACCACTGCTACTACTACTACTACTACCACTACTACTACTACTACTACTACTACTACTACTACTCCGACAACGACGATTACTACGACTGCTGCTACAGCTAATAATGCTACTACTACTACTACTACTACTACTACTATTACGACTACTACTTCTACGACTACTACTACTACTACCACTACGACGACGACTACTACTACTACAACTACTACTACTACTACTACTACTACTACTACTACTACTACTACTACTACTACTACTACTACTAATACTACTACGACTACTACTACTACTGCTACCGCTGCTACTACTACTCCGAGTACTACTACTACTACTACTACTACTACTACTGCTACTACTACTACTACTACTACTACTACTACTCAAACCACTACTACTACCACCACTACTACTACTACTACTACTACTACTACTTCTACTACTACTACGACTACGACTACGACGACGACGACGACTACTACTACTACTACTAATACGAATACTACTACTAGCATCAGCATTCTACTACTACCACTACTGCTACTACTACGACTACTACAACAACTACTACTACTACTACTACTACAACTACTACTACTACTGCTACTACGACCAATATTACTGCTACTACTACTACTACTACTACTACTACTACTACTACTACCTATACTACTACTACGACTACCACTACGACTACTACTACGACTACTACTACTACTACTACCACTACTACTACGATTTCTACTACTACTATTATTACGACTACGACTACGACTACGACTACGACTACGACTACTACTACTACTACTACTACTACTACTACTACTACTACTACTCTTACTACTACGACGACTACTACTACTACCACTACTACTACTACTACTACGATTACTACTTCTGCTACTCCTACTACTACTACGACGACGACTACTACTACTACTACTACTACTACTACTACGACTACGACTACGACTACTACGACTACCACTACGACTACTACTACTACTACTACTACTACTACTGCGACTACTCAAACCACTATCACCAATATTACTACTACGAATGCTACTATCACAACACTACGATTACTTGTGATACTACTAGCTCATCCTGCGAACAATTACCTGACCTGCTCCCGCATGAAGACGACGACGACTACGACGACGACGAAGACGACGCGCCGACTCGAATAGATATGTAGCGAGCTATCTTGCACTCCTGCTAAAAGCGAGCTCGCAGTTCTTATGTCAAGCAGGGTAGCCCCAAACAATATCCTGGAAGAGGTCCCAACCATATGCAGTTGTGGGTACCGTAATTGTGAATATCTGCTTCGGTGAAGCTCCCTATGGGGCCACGAAGCGCTGCACTGGGCGGGGGGGAACGCTGTACTGTGTGGGTGATGTGCCGAATTGGGCTTCCGAGACGCACGCGGACGGTCCCACTGAGGGCTTCGGTGGAGCTCCCTATGGGGCCACGAATCGCTCTACTGAGTGAGTGAAAATGCAAAATTGCGTTTCCGGGACGCATGCGGACGGTCCCACTGGGGGCTTCGGTGGAGCCCTCATGGGGCCTCGAAACGCTGCACTGCGCGGGTGAAAATGCCAAATAACATTTCCCGGACGCATACGGAGGGTGGCACTGGGGCCTTGGGTGGAGCCCCCTATGGGGCCACGAAACGCTGCACTGGGCGGGTGGAAATGTCAAATTGAGCTTCCGGGACGCAGGCGGACGGGGGCACGGGGGCCTTTGGTGGAGTTCCCAATGGGGCTACGAAACGCTGTATTGGGTGTGCGGGACGCATGCGGACGGTAGCACTGGGACCTTCTGTGGGGCTCCCTATGGGGCCACGAAACGCTGTACTGGGCTAGCGGGACGCACGCGGACGGTAGCACTGGGACCTTCGGTGGGGCTCCCTATGGGGCCACGACACGCTGTACTGGGTGGGTGAAACGCAGGGAGGACGGGGAGGAGGGCCACGAAACGCTGTACTCGGTGTGCGGGACGCATGCGGACGGTAGCACTGGGACCTTCGGTGGAACCCCCTATGGGTCCAAGAAACGCTGTACTGGGTGTGCGGGGCGCATGCGGACGTTAGCACTGGGACCTTCGGTGGGGCTCCCTATGGGGCCACGAAACGCTGTACTGGGCTAGCGGGACGCATGCGGACGGTAGCACTGGGACCTTCGGTGGGGCTCCCTATGGGGCCACGAATCGCTGTACTGGGTGGGTGGAACCCGGGGAGAGGGGGGAGAAGGGCCACGAAACGCTGTATTGGGTGTGCGGGAAGCATGCGGACGGTAGCACTGGGACCTTCGGTGGGGCTCCCTATGGGGCCACGAAGCGCTGTAGTGGGCGTGCGAGACGCATGCGGGCGGTAGCACTGGGACCTTCGGTGGGGCTCCCTATGGGGCCACGACACGCTGTACTGGGTAGGTAAACCGAAGGGAGGAGGGGGAGGATGGCCACGAAACGCTGTACTGGGTGTGCGGGACGCAAGCGGACGGTAGGAGGAGGAGAGGAGGAGAACGCGGGGACCGTTCCTTCAAAACCAGGACCCAACACCCCAGGATGGTTGGGAACAAGTGGCAAGCGCGCCTTGGCTCTTGCACAGAAAGGAAAGGGGAGGAAGCGGAGGGGGCGCGCTGGCTGGTGAATGGCGTGATGGAGGGAGCGCTCGGGATGGGGGTGTCGGGGCGGAGGGGCGCGCTGGCTGGTGGATTGGGTGGTGCGGAGGGGGTGCTCGAGGTGGGGGGGCGGTGCCGTGCCGAGATGAATGGGTCAGGACGGACGGGGCGGTGCCGCGCCAAAACGAAGGGGTCGGGGCGGAGGGGCGCGCTGGCTGAAGGGTGAGGAGATGCAGAAGGGGCGCGCGCGGAGGGGGCGGAGGGGCCGGTGCCGCGCCAAAATAAAGGAGTCGGGTCGGAGTGGTGTGCCGTGCCGAGGGGTCGGGGCGGAGGGGCGCGCTGGTTTGTGAGTGGGTGGGTGGGTGCGGGGGTGGCGCAACAAGGGGTCGGGGCAGAGGGGCGCGCTGGCTGGTGGGTGGGGGGATGCGGAGGGGGTGTGCCGTGCTGAAATAAAGTGGGGGCCGTGCCGAAATAAAGGGATCGCGGGTCGGG